TTGCAGAAACTTAATTAAAATAAAGAATATAAAATAAGTTCAAAAATTTTTTTTTTTTAATTTTAAATAAGAAATATTTTTAAATATTAAATAAGGTCTGAAAAAAAATTATTAAAAATAATAAATAGTAAATAACTTTTTAATTTTTTTATTTAAAATATATTTTTTTAATAAATTTATTTTAAATACGACACCGAGCCCTGTAAAAAATTTATTGTTGTACTCTTCCATGAATTTTGTACATGCTCTAATAGGCCAAATTAATCGTTACAGAAAGTACATCATTAGAAAGCGATTACAAATACCTCTTGATCGTGCCAAATATACGCTCTAGTCCTTACTTTGAGATTTTAAGTATATAGTTTTTCAATAAAATAGGTGAGATACACGATATGTGCGTGTGCGTGTGCGTGTGCGTGTGTGTGTGTGTGTGTACATGTTCAGAATAATCTTAAAGTCTTATCTAGCTTTTAATTAGATATTCTCGAATGATTAAAATTTAATATGCTTAATGGCCAATTATTTCGCTGTTATCAAAAATCAAGAAAAGGATTGAGAAAACTTTAGAAAATTATAACTTTTAATTAAAACTATAAGAAGGCAATTTTTATAAGCGCGTTTTCAAACGCTTTCTGGATTTGAGAATATTTGTGTTCTACGCGCGCGCGCGTAATATAATACAACACAGTTCCATAAAATAGTATATCAAGCTAACGAGAAATGTTTACCGTTAAATATACGAGTATGTATTTATGATGCATCCCATAAATTATATGTTATTATGAATTGAAATTACTTGTTGCAATATAGACCGACGCCTCCTATTTTCAAAACATACAATATATAAAATAATATAATAATCGTTATCTCATGACCAATATATATTCTTAATATTTTGCAGTTTGCTTCATTTGTAAGCAATTTCGTACGTGTATAGTCCTAAATTATATCTCTTAACATTTGCTTAAATGTGTAAAGGACAATCCATTTTTTATGAATAAATAAGTTACATGTAATATGTTATAACTGATGATTGAACATATTTGTGCAATAAGAGAAATTACTCGAACAAGGAGTACAAAGAGAACTGTATTAATTCTGAGTTCATTTTCAGATGCAAAAAAAATTCTTTTCAGAACTGTTCAGAAAAGAAATGCTTTTCGTCTCTGAAAGTGTGAATTTCAAATTCATGACATATATGTATATATATAACAACTAAATTTTGTTTAAACTCATTATGCTATCTGGGTAATTTTCTTTCATAAATTATGAATATAAAAACATTAAGAAATATCTCTCAAAATTAATGAATAATTATCTTGCACAAATATATAGTCAATTTATCTTACTTGTGCATCGAAATGCTGATTAACGAGATCAGAAATTAGTTCATGTGAATGCGGAAATTCGTATACTACAAAATGCGAAAGAAATTACAAATTCATAGAAACATGTAAGAAATAAATTTACTTTTTATGAACAATTATAATTACATACTTTTATCAATTCATCGCCCTTGAATCCTAGCTCCCACAACGAATTCCAGTCGGATCTCTTCAAGTCCATCCAGGTTGGTATCTGCACATTTTTAATATTGTACATTTATATGTATACAAATAAAATATTCTTTTTAATTTGTACGATGGTTCGTACTATCAGTTCTTTCATTCTTTCTTGCATATTTTTTTAAAAAGCTTACATATAACGGATATGCTGTCTGCGTATCTCTGTATACTTTATGTTTATATATTACTACTAATAAGATAATATATATAGAATATATTATGCGTATGTTTATTCAATATAATATTTCAAAAACAGTAGTCTAGTATAGATGTCCAATTACGATTGATTTAGAAAATTTAATCATATTTATTTTCCTTCCTTTTCTTACGCCCATCTACTACTTTTCTCTCTTCTTTTAATATATTACTTTTGTATTCATACTATCACTGCTATATTTATTATTTATGATCTTTACTGTATTAATGTTTTTAGTACTTGAAAGCATTCATCTTAGGTTGTGTTTCAAAATTTACTGCCAGTACTGAAAAATCTATAATTTACATTATACTTTAGATTTTCGGTGCTGGCAGAAAATTTTGAAACACAACCTTACAGAATGGAAGTTCTCTCAAGCGCTAAAAATATTAATACAGTAAAGACCATAAACACAGTCCTAGACTGCGTAATAAATAAAACTATTCAGCTATCTACTACTGTTTGTCAGAAAATCGAACTTCTGTAAAATCACACTATAAAGAAAAAATCTGGTTGCATCATTTATAATTAGATGTCTGGCATTTACTAAACAATTATCGAATAAGTACGATTAACTTATTCCTGTTATATTTAATTCCTAAACATATATTAAATAAAATTCTATGTTGGCCGAATAAATTTTTTGAGATAAGTAATTCAAAATTTGTTGTCAAACAAATCATCGATTTCAACGATTGAATTAATAAATAATGTATTTAGTTTGAAACTTTCATGGTCCAAATAAGAGTGTTAATAAATAATGCTTTCCCGTAAAATATAGACCTGAATTCACGTTGATTGAATACATCTTTCTTATTAAATATAATTTTGTAAAATTTTGTATTGATCAAATAATGTTTTTTTCATAACTAAGGGTGCATTATTTATCCTTGTTGTTTATCGAATGTAAAGAAGAATAAATAAAACATATTATGCGCATTGTGCATGAAATGAAACGCATGATTATTGGACTTCTTTTATTTTATTATATTATTTTTAATTAATTACGAAAAGTAAATTATATTATACATATTTAATTTAGTATTTTACTTTATTTTTCTTACAAAATAATAAACTGATTCTTCAAACTAGAGAAACTCACATTTATAACAGTAGCCGTCTTAGTTTTCAGAAAGTTTTTTTAGAACTTCCATCTCGAATTCCATCTCTTTTAATTTTTGATTACAAATACAAAACTGGTTTTGTAATCATGGCTCAGCAGTTCTGAGTACTTACAATACAAGTTAGCCAAAAACTCCGCGTTGATGATAGAGACACCGAATTAGTCGGCGATTTGGCAAACTATTAATCACACACCAAGAGCCCATTGGCTCATTTTCGGGCCAAAGACGAGCATATAGATATAGACGGTAAAAGACTAAACTAATAATAAAAAGTAACGTTTTGACAACAAAATTTTGTATTATGCCGGTTCTATATTAGTTGCAAGCCGATCGCAAGTTTGTTGCGACAGCCAATCTGAAGCGTTGATTTCAAAATGCAAGCTTGAGATTGGCTGTCGCAACGAACTTGCGATCGACTTACAACTAATATAGAACCAGCTTTACGTGTCATGTTCATATTATATGCTTAATTATGAAAATGTGACTTATCTCTTATATTTATTTATTATCTCGATATCAGATAAAAGAACTCACTGAGCGCTCAATGAGCGGTCATGCTTTTAAATGCACCCAATGGTCATGTTCAGCAGACTCAATTGTTGCGGAGTGGATCCGTGAGTGCTCATTACTATATTGGTGTATACTTTTAGATCATCCAATAGCAGCAACCGCTCATGGATCCACTCTGCAACAGTTGAAACTGCTAAATGCGACCATTCCGTACGATGCCCGCTCAGTTTGGTTTACATTTTTAGACCTAACGGAATATGCCAATCATATACAAGAGCTCACTGAGCGCTCAGTGAGTGGTCGTCGTATTAAATGCACCCACGATATAAACGATAGGCCAATATCATCTAATCAGAATTTTAGATCTAGAAGAATACACCAATAACAGCAAGCGCTTACTGAACTGTTGAGTTTTTTTTGTTCTCAAAGCCCATTCTACAATTGCGTAAACATAGTTGTAAACGGTGTAGTTGTACAAATTAACCAATCACAGTCAAATACGAAAAAATGTTCGACTGTTATTGGTCAGCGGATCGCACGTAAGCAGATTAGCGGATCGTCATAAATACGCGTCGTGGGATGGCGTCCTCTGCTGCTGAGTCCGCTGGGGCCACTTTCACAAATTCCGATTAATCTGCCAATTAGTCTATTGGAATTGACCAATCGCGTCTGTCGTCAAAACTAAATAACAAATGCTATTGGTCAATCCTGTAAAGTTACTGGAATGGTTAAGTTAACCAGAGAAAGTCGTGCTGATTCATCCAATAGTTGCGTTCAGTAGATTCAAATTCAACTGTGTAGAACGAATCCGTGAGCGCTCGTTACTAATTGGTGTATTTTTTAAATCAATAGTAAGCGCTTAAGGGTCTACGCACAATGGGAGAAATATTAGGAACAGATATTAAATATAAGAATTTTAACCTATCAGAAAGCGCACATTCTACAGTACACAGTTCTGATAGGTTAAAATTCTTATATTTAATATCTGTTCCCAATAGGCCTGTTCTTTTTGCCTGCACTGTCTGAACTGGTACATACAGTGCAATAAGTTGAAATGAAACAAACGTATATCTGTTTCACTTCAACTTATTGCACTCTGTGTACCAGTTCGGTAAAAAGAACAGGCCTAATATTTCTCCTATTGTGCGCAGCCTTAAGCTGATTTTTCATGTGCAGCACGCAAGTGCAGCAAAATGTTATTATTGGTTAAAAATTTTTTGTGAGGTGACGCACTGTGACGCACTTCCAATCAGTTCTCGAAAATTTGTATCACATGACATTTTGCTGCCGCAGCGTGCTGCACATGAAAAATCAGCTTTAAGGATCCCACTTCACAAGAGTTTTGCTGTTCGCCACCAATGTGACCAACTTAAAATATTCGTTAACTATAGGTCTGTTTTTTATTGCTGCACTTTGTGTGCAGCAATGTACATATTTGTTTCATTTCAGCTTATTGCACCGTATGCATCCGTTTGGAAAGTGCAGCCATAAAAAAAGAGTATTTGGACCAATATGGAGCCTCATGTGGCACACAGAGGTTATATTATGTTAAAAATTGGATCGGAACTTTATAATAATATTACAATAGATCGAATATATGTACAGATGCGTCGTTTAAAAAATTGTTTTCGGTCGCCTGCTGTTTAATGTCATCATGCTTTTGAGGAGAGTTTAATTTTTAACAACAAATATATAAAAATTGTTGCGCATTTAGGTTAACCCTCCGTTTTGGATTGACAGTAAAGAAATTTTTAAAGATGTACCTGAACGTCTGTCGACTGTTTACACGAACATGCGTGAGGCAGATACACACCAGCGTGTCGCAAAATTTAATGAAAGATCATTCTGACAACACGATGCGAAAGAAATTGCGTTCCACTGCCTTGTATTGGTCTGGAGTCGGAGTTCTGGTAGTTGGTTTGAGTTATTCTGCAGTGCCTTTGTACAGAATGTTTTGCCAGGTGTAGTTGTGGTTCTCCAAAGATTATTTTATATCTTAACTCGAGAGTTTAATCTAATTTTACTTTAATACATTTAATACCATTGGTATAACTATATTAGCGAATTCAATCACTTTATATTACATTGGATTAGTAATATAAAAAAGCTATAATTAATTATATAATAATACAATAGAGCATATGAAAACTATACATAAAATAGTAAAATTAAATATAAGCATGTAAATAAATACTTAAACTTTATTGGTTGGCCTAAAAGACTTGATTTACATTAAATATCTTAACTTTTTACACTCTCACTGATACATTTCTGCTTTAAAAAGCATATAAATATTTTGAATGATTGAATATTCTCAATAATGATACTGTCACATTATTTAATAGACTATACATGTATTAATTTATTATCATAGTTGATTATATTATTCCACTGTATGTAGATGCTTTATATAAAGCAGCTGTTAATGTATACTAATCTATTGTAATATAAATTTATCATGTAGCTGCATTGGTACAATCAGGGCCTAAAAGGATGCAACACTTTTTGGAATGCAGCTTACTTACAAAAAGTGATTGGTTTTTATTTATAAATCCATAAATAAAAATCAATTACTCAGTGAGAAGGCTGTATTCCGAAATTCATTTAAAAAAAAGTTTTGCAATCTTTTAGACTCCCACTATACATGTTTCTTTCCTTTACTGAATTTTCTTTTTGTTTTATAGTCATATAGTTATGGTGGAACAATATCAGCTGGTCATGATTCTAGTAAAGTGTCTACAATGACACCTATTAAAGATAGAAAGATCAAAATTAAGTTTAATGCAGATGTGGCGTCGTCGATGCGATGGAACTTTAAACCGCAACAAAAGGAGATTACGGTTATTCCTGGAGAGACGGCTTTAGCATTTTATACAGCCACAAATCCGACCGATAACCAAGTTGTAGGAATATCCACATATAATGTTTTACCATATGAAGTAGGACAATACTTTAATAAAATACAATGCTTCTGTTTTGAGGAACAAATGCTTAACCCAAATGAACAAGTGAGTTTGTTAGCATAAAATAAAATTATTGACAGTCAAGTTTTTCTTTGACAATAATTATATTTTCTATTTTTCTTTTTTTGTATCAGTTATACTCTAACAGAAATTATGAATATGTGTATAATATATGTGATTAAATTAAGCAGTGTAATGTAAATTATTATATATATTCTTATGTATTAAGGTTGACATGCCAGTATTCTTCTTCATTGATCCTGAATTTACAGAGGATCCAAAGATGGAGTTTGTTGATGAAGTAGTTCTCTCCTATACATTTTTTGAGGCTAAACCAGGATTTAATCTGCCTGTACCAAGCTATGCCAAAAGTCACTCAACAAAGTAAAGTGTAATTATGTCTAATAGTTTTAGCGTAATTATAACAATTGTACAAATAAATATTTAATATATAATATATTTTTTCAACTTCCTTTTTATAGAAATATCACGTAGCCTAAATTTCTTTAGGAGTGTATTTCAAGTGATGACACAATTAAACATTCTTGTAAATGGCAGTATTCATGTGTAAAGCACGGCATTAACAGAGAATATACCTTTAAAATCTAAACAATGCATTAACAGGATACGCACGTCTAAGACCACAAACTTTTTCCTTATCGATATATATTGCATCGATTTTTAGGGCAAGATCGTGTTCGAGCATGGTTCGAGTTCGCAGCAGTTTCTGATGTTGATTCTCGAGTTCTTTCAACGATTTGTGCATTCGCTCGAGTTGATGATTTATATCGTCAATCTCTTTCTGAAGGCTGCAAAACAAGAATAGTATTTTCAAATAATATCCATCTATATATATACTCCTGAGATATATTGTGAAATTATATACCTTGCGTAGGCATAATCGCGACATAATTCCATATCGGGACGATGCATCCTCGCCTCCATCCTCGTATGCGCAACTTTAGTTGCATAACTTTTGTCTGCAATAGCCTTACGCATTAATTCCAGATTTTTTTCAACGTCGAATATTTCCTGTTGCACCTGTAATGTTTCACGAATTATATTTAATCCGAAAAGACTACATGCGTAACACTTTGTACCTTTTGCAAATGCTGTTGGAGTTTGTTCTTAGCCTCAAGTAATTCGGAAGATCTATGTGTTAAAGCATTGTTGGTATTACTCCAAGTATTCCACATTTCCTGAGCGACTTTATTCACAAGACTTTCGGCAGTGGTGCGTAATTGACAGGATTTGTTCCGTTCCGTTTGGGATTTTTGCACTATTCTATTCGCTGCATCCGCCCAAGTTTCTTGCTCTGAAATACTAACACGCTAACAGTTAATTATAACAGTTATTAAAATTTTTACAGATGATATATAATTAAGTACCATGGATCATATTTCTCAATTCCAGAATAATATTGTAATCCATGGGTGTGATTGTTCAATTGGTGACAAATAGTATCAATGCCCAGGGCACTCTCCTTATTCTTTAAATCCAATTCTAATTGATTCTGCGAAGCTCTACAATTTCGTAACTGCAAGCAGAATAATGTTAATTATTTTAATCATGCCGGTTAGCTAGGAATTCTATTATTATATAAAGGCATTTTTTTTATATATAGATATTATATTAATTTATACCTGATCCTTGCATTTGTCCAAATAGGCTTCCAGTTTCTTTTGGTTTGTTCGTAAGTTTTCTACTTCTCGCAGTAAACATTTTTCCGACTCGTCATGTACCAATTCTGTACCTAAAGTTATAAAATTATTGATTATGACTTTATATGTATAATATCTAAAATGTGAAATGTAAATTGAAAATAGTTTTGTAATATCCTGCATACCTTTTCTAGCTTCTCTGTGATACAGACACTCTTCTGCGATGTGCAGAGGTCCTTCAATATCTCGTGATGCTTTTTCTAGAACATTTCGGCAATCGTGGAGTCTCTCGATTTCGTGAAGCATTCTCTCTAGTTCTGCTGCTACTTCGTTGCGCCAAAAAGTAATGTCATTTATTCTCTCGCCAAGTCTTCGGCTGGTATCATATTGACCATGCTGTATCTTCTCCTCGGCATTTCTGAAAAATATTTTAATATTAAATTTTAAAATTTATATTAATTAAAAGAAATTTTTAATTGAAATGTAACATTGGTCCTATACACATAATATAATTAAAAATTATTTCTAAGAAGTTATTGTACCTGATAATCCTCAGGGCATCGTTTCGCGTCCTCTCGGAATAATGTCTTTGCGAATCTGCCTCGTTGTAGTATCTCACTTGTTTTTGAAACCATTCGTGCGGTGTGTATCTCGTATAAAGGGCGGCTTGTGATGCATGAACAGGATTGCGTTGATAGCCCGTGATTAAATTTGGAAATTTCAATGGCCTTGTACTCATTTTATTACTTGCGTCCAGTGCATAACTTGATATCGACTTTGTAACTCTACAAGAAAATAATATAATATAATATAGTAATTATATACTTCATATCCATGTCCGGGTCTGTGTGCTGAGTATTTATTGAAGATAAGGATAAGGATAAAGTGAGGATTTACAAAGAATCGGCAGAGATATAATAAAACAGTAAAACTTATTAAATCATATATAAAAGTATAGTACTTGTTTGTTAAATCAATATTTTCTATATATGTATATATATATATTTATATACATATATGTATATGAAGGGTTCAAAAGGAGGATGACATCTTTACAATTATTATTATAGGAGTGATGCTAAAGCAAATGAATCATAACTAATTCTAAGAGAAAATGTTGAATCTACTTACAAGGGAATAACTTCTGTATTCTCGAATCCGACATTTGGTCTCCATGGTAGTAAATGATGTGTACGAGTATAGTCACCTATACGGATCGGAACTACTGGTTCCATATAAGACATTGAACCTGTGGCTGTACTCCATGGTTGTAATTGCTACAAATAAATTTTAAAACATATACAATTAAAGAGTATTAGTTTTTTATTTCATCTCTTTTAAAAGTTTAAATTATACATTATATTCTAAACTTATATTTAATGTCAATATGTCCCTAGAATTATTTTTCTGGTAGAAAAGTAACATTTTTATTAAATTTTAAGAAATAAATAATATATATCAATAATTATCTGTTCTGCTAAATCAATTTATAGATTATAATGGAAATATAATTATTCTAATATGACGAAAGACACATTTATTATCTAACATTAGTTGTGAGATAAAGAAAATTAAAATAAAAGAAAGAGCTACATTTTTTAAGAGAAAAAGTTTATTAAAAAAATTAAACTATCTTGAATTATTACATGATAAAATTATATTTTATTGTTATATCCTGTTATTTTTTCTTGAAAAAAAAAAACAGAGTATGTAATGTATATAATAAAAGTATAATAGTACAACAATCTGAAAAAATTTTTTTATTCTTATACAATCATCAATTGTATATATCAGAGAAAAATTAATGATCCAACATGGCAGATGTACCTAGCGAAGCTCCCGAACGTGAGTTGTATATATAATCTGATATTAATCGGTATTACAAATAAATCAAATTAATTAAAGGCATATAAACTTGACATTCATTAAAATTACATAATCATTGATATATATCATTTATATATTATATTATATGATAATTAGAATTAAAGGTTAAGTTGGAATAGCACTGTATATTTTAACTTTGATACTTTTTATTACAAATTGTTTAGAAAGCGTATAATTTTTAATATTACATTTTAAAAATACTGACTAGTTTTTCGTTAAAATAATAAAATTAACTATCACTTATCATATTGATATTATTATGTGTAAATCATCACTTTTCTTTTTCTGCTAAGTCATTTCTATTATATATAATGTATGTGTGTGTATAGAAAGTGCTACAAATATTAAGAAACTTATGAAATTTTCAGATTGTCCTGGAACCCAGAGTGAAAGTGCTGGCAAAGCATCAGCTTGTGCGGGATGTCCGAATCAATCACTATGTTCGTCCGGAGCTGCCAAGCAGCCAGATCCTGGTATTGCGCTTGTGAAAGAAAGGCTTTTTTCAGTGCGAAATAAGCTATTAGTGCTTTCAGGCAAAGGAGGAGTAGGCAAGAGTACTATGACATCATTATTATCCAGATGTCTTGCAGCAAACAATCCTGATAGAAATGTAAGCATGTAACTAATCATAATTAAAAAAAGAAAATTATGTGATATGAACGTTGGTTGGAAGAAATAATCGATTTCTTTATCTTTTGTATCTAATTTGTCTTATATATATTCTATGTGTAGTGCTACAGCCATTTATTAGCCTTGCTAATATAAATACCATATATTTTGCTGTTACATAAGTATATAATCTCACATTTATATTAAGTTAAAATAAATTAATATAATAACTCACTCTTTTACCCATTCCAAGTACATCCATATGATTTTCAATGTACATGTTGACATAGTGAATGCCTAGCAGCTAGTTTGTAGGAAATAACCTCAGATACACACAGAGAATATCTATAGTCGACTAATGGCCTATATATGTCGTATCAACCAGTGCCAGTTTCTTATTGATTATCAGACCTTTAATATTCTCATTCTTGTTATTCGAGTTAATATTTCAATATTACACAAAGATATAAATATAGATATAATTTAATTATATTGTATCTATATTTATATATCTTTAATATAAATACAGATACAATATAAATTTACTAAATTTACTACCAATACTAAATATAATTTAATTAATCTTTGTAATATATATTGAAGAACTTAATACAATATAAATTTTATTAGAGAGATATTTCAAATCTTGTCTTATTTAGGTGGGAGTACTGGACATTGACATTTGTGGTCCATCACAGCCAAGAGTACTAGGGGCACTTGGTGAACAAGTTCATCAAAGTGGATCAGGATGGTCGCCTGTAGTAAGTAAACTCCTTGAAGCAGAATTACTGTGCCACTAAAAAACTTATTATATATTATTATTTTGCATATTATTATTTTGTTTTAGTATATTGAAGATAACTTATCGCTAATGTCGATTGGTTTTTTGCTCAGCAGTCCAAGTGATGCAGTTATTTGGAGAGGGCCAAAGAAGAATGGTATCGGCATATTTTTAAGATTTAATTTTTTATAATTCTTATTTTATTAATCTACATGATATTTATTGCGAATAAATTCATCTTTATATATTCAGGTATGATCAGGCAGTTTCTGTCAGAAGTTGACTGGGGTAGCTTAGATTATCTTATTCTGGATACACCGCCTGGCACATCAGACGAACATTTGTCAGCTACGTCGTATCTAAAAGATGCCGGCATTACTGGTGCCATAATTGTCACGACACCACCACAAGTTGCTCTCTTAGACGTCCGAAAAGAAATAGACTTTTGCAGAAAAGTGAATATTCCAATCTTGGGTGTGATTGAGAACATGAGTATCTTCATATGTCCTAAATGCAAAGTAAGGACAATGTGAATAGGACAAAAGAAAAAATGGAAGGATATGATTAACAAAACATCTTTGTACACAGAATAC